TATTGAAACAATTTACTATATCTGAGCCTTTTATATTAGACACAAAACGACTTCCTTAGCTTAATTTAAAAAATTCTCAGTTATTTAACACCACACGTCGTGAGCAACACACTCCACACACTCATCCAGGATGTGACAGCAGCTGTGTCAGAGCTCACAGACAAACTGCAGCACATCCTGACACAGGACTGGACTAAAGTCTCACTGGCAGCCGCTCAGCCGGATGTTTTACTGCCACCAGAACCAGAGAGCACAGCCGACTTCTTAAGATGTTCACGTGACATCACACTGGATTCAAATACAGCAGAGAGACTGTCAGAGGGGAACAGGAAGGTGACCTGGACGTATAAACCTCATTTTTATCCTGATCATCCAGACAGATCCCTAACTACTCTCAGGTCCTGACGAGAGAGAGTCTGATTGGAAGTTGTTACTGGGGTGTGGAGTGGAAAGGGGGGAGAGGAACATACAAGAATATCAGCAGAGCAGGATTTCCGGACCCAGGTAGACCATCACCGTGTATGACCCAGGTAGACCATCACCCTGTAGCACCCAGGTAGACAATCACTCTCTAGGACCGAGGTAGACCATCACCCTGTAGGACCCAGGTAAACCATCACCCTGTATGACCCAGGTAGACCATCACCCTGTAGGACCCTGGTAGACCATCACCGTCTAGGACCCAGGTAGACCATCACCGTCGAGGACCCAGGTAGACTATCACCCTGTAGGAACCAGGTACACCATCACCATGTGGGACTTTGCTCTGCGCTTTGAGACTTCAGCATCCAGCTGTGGAGGTGGTGTGTCTACTTGAACTGCTCACTGTGAGACCAAGTAGAATATTACAAATGTATCCAGGCTATGCAATCAAACGTGGTCCCTAAATACTAGGATATGAGTGTGTAGATATCAGCTGGGCTCAGTAGAGCCACGGGGGGGTTTCCTGGTAGAGTTGGCCGTTGACAGATAGTTTGACACCCTCGACGACAGCCGGGGAGCCTCCTTTCATGAACCTTTTCCGGATGGGAAACAGGAGCCTCCGTCTGTCCAGGATCTCTTTGGGAAACTGGTCACTGATGCTGAAGTCGGCTCCCCTCAGCTCCCGCCCACCGCTCCTTACCAGGACCTGTTTGAAGTGCTCCAACTGGGCCACGGTGGGTCTCATCGGGTCTCCTCCCTCCCAGGCGCTGCACTCTGTGGGAGGAGACGTT